GGGGGGAGGGAAGAGGGGATTCTGTAATTGGTATATAAAAATGAATAAAAAATTCTTAATAGAACAAGAAGATGACTAAGCTGCAATACTTTTTGAGGGTCTGGGTTCATTTTACAGAGAAGAAGCAAGCAGGTCTGCAAGGCACATGTTAGAAGGCCAGAGTGTCTCAGGAAGTCCCTTCAGAAGCCTGAAAACAGACAACTAAGCTGGGCTCAGAGAAGAAGGCTTCTTTCCAAAAAAGAGAAATGCATATACTTGCTGACCTTCTGCTTTGTATGGGAGCAAACCCATCCTAAAGTGACAATGCCATTACGTTGAAAATGGGCTTCATACACCTCCCTAACTCTGCTATGCCTGCGTCACTCATGTTATCATACATGGAGCACCATGTCTGTTTTATAACAAAGTATGGACAATCTGCTACTTCTTTAGTGTGTGTGTGTGTGTGTGTGTGTGTGTGTGTGTGTGTGTGTGTGTGTGTGTAAACCTAGCAACACAGCACACTCTAGAGGGTCAGTTTAAACCCAAATGGTCACCTGACCCACTTGGAGATCCAATCACTGCTGCCACCCAGCACCACAAGAGAGAATCTTTTCATACATCACTAGCCCAGGAAGAGATCGAAACTCAACATTTAAAATACAGTTTCTAGTGTTCGTTATTTTCACACCATTAGAATATCAAAGACACTTTAGTTGAGCCACTGTTAAGTCAGGAATCCTCTGTAGTGAGGGCAGGAAGGATGGATTAGTACATACAGTACTCTTGTTGGCTATTTGAAAAGCTATGCCTACCATGACACTCAGAACGCCATATAGCAGGCCACTTTGTAAAATTTTTAAAAATCCTAATGGGAATCCAGGCTTTCTCTCCAGGGTCTGACCAGATCACTTTTTATTTATTTCTCTTCGGAAATTCTCAGTATCTCCTCTATCAACCCATACCATTACTTGCACGTCTCACCAAGTCTTCCCCCAGGAAGAGCCAACCCAACTGCCTTCTTTTGCTTTTCTATTGATATAATAAACAACACGATCAAAAGAAGGTTGGAAAGGAATGGGTTTATTTTATCTTACATCTTAAAGTCTAACATGAAGAGAAGTGAGGGCAGGAACCAGGAGGCAGGCACTGCAGCAGAGACCATGAGGAGTGCTGCTTACCAGCTTGCTCTCCATGGATTGCCGAGCTTACATTTTTGTACAGCCAAGGACCACCTGCCCTGGGGTAGAACCAGCCCAGTAGACTGAACCCTTCTACATCAATCACTGATCAAGGAAATCCCCCACTGCCTTACCCACAAGCAATCTGACGGGTGCATTTTCTCAGTTGAGTGTCTGCCTTCCCAAATCTTCCAAACTTGTGTCAGTCTGACAAAACACTAACCAGCACACAGCCAATCTTGCCAGGCTGATCTGTACAAGTTCTGCCTTCTGGCCATCTCCAGTGGTTTGCCCTATCCCTACTTAGCACCATTACCAACCTGAAATAAGCAATGTCACCCCTTTTCATCTAAGCTACCAGGCTATGCCTCTCCCTTTATCTCTGTCATGTACCTGTGGACTTGTACAAATAAAGCCATCCTCACCCCAGTTCTCCCTATGCTCTTTCCACAGCTTGAAGACTATCAGAGCTGTAGTATCTCACTGGTATTTTAGGGAGCAACACTCCAGAGCAAGGACAAGCTATAGCTCTGGAATCCAGCTGCCTGTGTTGTTTCCAGACCCCACATCACTAATAGGATGGGCTTGGGCAAGTTCACCAATATCTTTGTGCCTCAGTTTCCAAATCTTAAGATGAGGGCTAGAAGCTGAGCCAGTAGCAGTGGGTTCTTACTGAGGATTAAGTGGAATTCGTGCTCAGGTCAAAGAGTAGAACCTGATGGGGTCAGTGCACAAGAGGTGGAGGTCATGATTCTGAGCTAGCATTCTACACATGGTCCCCCCCACCCCGGCCGGATGTAAGAATTTGGAGGTCTGGAGCTGAAGCAGTTCCATCACTACTCCATGGCCCTGGGCCCAGAGCTGACAGCAGTCTACACAGCAAGCGCACGCGGGCCAGCAGTATAGAGCAGTTCCCTCCTGCTGTGGTGCCACACTCTGTAGCAATCCCTGGGTCCTTGCTATGTGGCCCAGAAACAGAGCTCAGGATTCATTTCAATACATTGCAGATGAAAGGAAACATAAAATAACAAATTTGATGAAGAAATCTTTCTAATTATTGTTCATTATTTATATCTAATTGAAGCAAGATGTTCCTTTGCTTGAAGGGCCCCAAGGGTTGTAACTCTGCCGTAATTTGCCTGTAATGAAAGGAGGGGAAATCTTCTTTTTGCTACATTCTTTTTTATTTTTCTCATGGTAATACAAACAAACACAGGCTTTGATGAATGGGAAACATCAGGATGAATTACACAGTTGAGTCTAAATACTGAACTACTCTAAATTACTGCAGTCTCCACAAGTATGGAATGAATGCATAACTTCCAGGGAGCTCTGATCTCCTGTTTTATCCCCACATTTGAAATTGAGATTTCCTCCGTCCTGTGTATTTATTCATGATGGTGCTCCTGGCCAGAGGCTCGGGGAACATCCGCGATGACAAGCAGGCAGCCTGAATGTTAATGGCTCAATCTCCCTTTCTCATCCAGCATAGCTATTGTTCCCTCTTCCCTAGGCATCACCTCCATCCTGTGAAGCTTCACCTTCTGGCTCATGGCCGATCTATCACCTCCTACAGCCACAAGTTTGGATACAGAGATCTCCCCAATCACAGATGCACACTCTCTCAACAAAGAATTCCAAGATCACTTGCATGCCTGTCACACATCAGGTCTAGCCATCGTGTTTCTGAGTGTCTGAGCCTAAAAGGGCTCGAAGAGGTGGGTCCCCCTAAGGACACACCAAAACTATCATCTCCATGGGCAGGCTTGCTCTTGTCAGAGAACAGAGTTTTAGAAAAGGTACACAGGGAAGGATAATGGAGAACAAGGACAGCCAGTCACCGTGGCTGCCAAGCCAGCACTGGCAATCAGCAAAAGACAGATGTTGAAGGCAAAGAGGAAACCCATCCAAAAAAAAAAAAAGTCAAGGAGTTTCACCAGGAGAGGGCTACACTTGCAGCACACACAGCTAAACTATTCTGAAGTCGCCCTTTTCAGTAAGAAGTGACCACACGCACCCAGGCACTTACATTATAAGACAGATGGAGGGCATGCCCACTCATCATAGGTCAGATTTCTGTCAATCAAGTGTGTACCAGGCACCTTGACAAAGTCACTGAACCAGATAGTGCCCCAAACAGTTCCGAGATGTCTAATAGATCAAGCAGAGTGACAAATAAAACAGGAGATGAATAGTGAGGATCTCCCAGAGGTTTACAACAGGACATACATGAGCAGCTGACCAAACATTGGAAGTGGGGGTGAAATGCAGTTACAAATGGGGCATCCCTGAACAACCAGGAGCGGAGCTACTAAATTGTGAGCCAGACGCAAGAAAGGGTTCCCTAAAGAAGCATTTAGCTCAATCATGTAGCCCGGGTGGAGGCAGCCAAGGAAGAAGGAATGAGGAGGGCGATTTAGGAAGAGAAGTT